AAAGAAATGGTATATAGCCCTAAGTATGCTATGACTGGACATCTACTGCTAAAAAGTAATCTTTACAGCTATGGAGTTGTACTGCTTGAGTTTATAACTGGAGGGACTCCTGTTGATATGTCACAACCATCAGGGCAGGTGAACCTTGTCACTTGGGCGAGCTCAATTCTAAGAGACAAAGACCGGTTGGAAAAGCTTGCTGAACCAAGGCTTGGAGGGAAGTCCCCGAAGGAAGATTAATTTTGCGCCGGTTTGCACAACTGGAGCTGCTCGTGTTGCTCCTGAGGCAAGTCCAAGGCCCACGACCGGTGAAGTGGTTTAGTCATTAAAAATGGTGCAGCATGTTACAGAATATCAAGATTCAATGTTAAACATTTCCAACAACCGGCCCAACCAGAGACAATCCTCCACTACTTCTGAGTCTGATGAGACATCATCAATGTTTTCTTCGGGTCCTCACTCTGGTCTAAGTGCCTTTGACAATGACAACTTCTCGCGGACAGCAATTTCCTCTGAAGATCTTCATGAAGGACGATGAACACTTTGAAGAGAGATACAATCAACTGGAAGCCTTCCTTCAGTTGGAAGCCCATCACAACCCAATACACCAGTGAGAAATTTTCTCAATAGGAAGTGGTAAATTTGAAATAGTATTTTCAAAGGTGTCAGAGATTTTGTAACTTGGATAGATGGGGATGGGTGCTTTTTGTTGTCCCACTGCTAAGTTTCCCCCCATGCAGTGGTTGATGAAATTTTGTACATATGCCTTGTAGCTTGTTCAATTGCGTCAGCTTTCGATTTCGAGGGTTTATATTAACTTTTCTTTATGGGTTCAAAAAAAAATTCTGCATGGTTCAATCTAATAATTTTTTAATTGGGTTTTAATTTTTTTTTGTAATGACAAGAACAACCCACTCACTAATTTGGAGCCTAATAAATAATTCCAATGCTTGATTTAAATCTAAGTACTCTTAATTTCCTAATATAATAAAAGTTACAAATACAAAGTCCTCATCTAGCTAACATTTTGTTACAAACTTAAATTAAATACTCACATAAACATTTATAGATATCCAAGGGTAGGTGTTAATCTTGCTAATCAAAACTCTTATTAAGCAAATATAATTTCCAATATGCAAAAATGTCAAAATTTGTAAAAATGATGAAAATTAAAGAAATAAATACGACTACTCGGCAAGTAATTGACATCCCCTCAGTTAGATTAACCATGTTTTAAAGCATTTAGGTCAAAATTATCAATAATCATATAAATATTAAAACAAAAGTTAAGTAAACACATCATAAACACGTTTTCTCCAAAATCGTATCTTCATATAATAGAAGTAACTATTACTAATACAATATTCTATTTAGTAAATTAAATTTATTAATTCAGTTATTAGTATATTAATTAATTTAATTATTTTAAAAATTAACTAATATTATTTATTTAATTAATTGTTTACTAATACATTATTCTATTTAATTAATTAAATTACTTAATTAAGTTGATCATACATTAATTAATTTAATCATTTTAAAAATAATTATGATTTATTTATTAATATATTATTTTAATTAATTACTTAAATTACATTAATAACTTAATTATTTTTCAAATTATATAATAATACTAATTTTATTAATTGTTTACTAAAATATTTTTATTATTTTATTAATTAAATTATTCCATTAATTCTGGTCTATATGCTACATCAGGTGAAACTCACAATTTAACTTTTTCCTAAAAAAATTATGCAATTTTATTATATAATGCCAATCTTAGACTTTATAGTTACAAAGGAAGGAAATAAAAAGTCTAATTCAATCTCCCTCCGGCATGAATCATAATCTCTAATTTATCATTTCCAATTCAATCTCATCTTTTCTTTTTCAACTGCAAACAAGTTCAAGAGCTCTACACCTGCGTCATTTTCACCAGATACCGTGAATAACGTGGGAAAGTTACTTAGGTTAATTTATGTCCCATATTTTTTTTACTTACAGGAGGGCATTGTGGTCATTTTAGTGAAAGTGGAAAAGGGTGTGTCCCCCGATAAGCCATTTGGAATGTTCCTGGCAAATCATGAATAGACCAAGGTACCCTTTGTTTATCTACATGGCTGAGGGACATTATCCTCCAGAGAAAATGTGGCCAACCAATCCAAAACAGGACAAAATCCAAACCACTCAAGCATTGTGAAACGGAAACCAGAGACACATGGTGAAAAAATCTTTCATTTCTGTGTTTTAATTCTTTCAAAAAAAAAAAAAAATTCATTTCTCTCCTATCCACCAGCTGGTGACCAGTTAACAATGGAAACCATTCTCTCATCTCACTCTCTTTCTCCGATCCTGAATCCAAAAGCATCCACTTCTAAGAACCTTTTGTCACCTTCAATTCAACCAAGATCAGCTCCTCTCCCTCTCTCAAAACCCTTTACTTGTGCCCTCAGGAAACAAACTTCTCAATCACTAAAACCATCTTTGGCAGAACCCAAAACTTGGTTTGCTCATGCACAGCGAGGACTAGCAGCTCTAGCTATCTCTTTAGCACTCAATTTTTCTCCAGTCTTGCACACTGGCAATGCATGGGCATCAGAGTTTGATGTAATCAATGAAGGGCCACCCAAGGACTCCTATGTTTTTGATGATGCTAATGTGCTTAGTAGAGTGACAAAATCTGATTTGAGGCAGCTTTTATCTGATTTGGAGTCAAGGAAGAACTTCCACATTAACTTTGTTACTGTTAGAAAGCTCACAGTAAGATCTTGTTTTGATGAATTGACTTGTTTACTTGGATATTACCCTTTTGTTGGTTTGTTAGTATTGTTTGTTTTCTGAAACCAAGTAAAAGGAAGAAGAACAAATGAAAGCTCTATGCAATTCTTGAAGCTGATTAGTTCATTTGACCTGGTTGTTTACCAGGAATCATAACATTATGGCTTCCTTTTCTTTCCCTTTTTGAGAGTTTCTCAGTAAACAGTGGGAATGTAGGATTGCTTTTTAACCTATGAAGCAGATGCAAAGTTTGAGATTTGATTGATGAGATTTGATTGCAGAGCAAAGCTGATGCTTTTGAGTATGCTGACCAAGTTTTGGAGCGCTGGTATCCCACACTTGAAGAGGGCAACAATAAAGGTGTTGTTGTGCTTGTTACAAGTCAAAAAGAAGGGGCAATCACAGGGGGACCTGCATTTGTTGAAGCTGTTGGAGAAAAAATTCTGGATGCTACTGTATCAGAAAACCTTCCCGGTAAGTATTTCTTTTATTTTTGTTACTAAAGCCAAAATCGAAAACCTTCTTATAAAGATTAGTCCTAGAGGCCCCTCGCAGCTTGAGATGGTAGAAACATTTAAATACTCAGTTTCAATCTAATAGCTCCTTTTGGGGCTGTGACATCCTCCCCGGTCCAATGAGGATTTACTGTCCTTACTGGCACATCGTTAGTAACCCAGAACCGGCTCTTATAAATGAACTTATTTGGTTGCTCTGCGAATCATTTTATTTGCTTTCCCGGCAATTGACCATCCATGGTATAGCTTAGGCTGAGAGATCAAGCAAGCCATTAGGAAAGAGAAGAGGGGTTCGTTTCTTTAGCTGCAGTTATACTGATCATACTGTTTTCTTAATTTGCAGTTTTGGCCACAGATGAGAAGTACAACGAAGCAATTTACAGCAGTGCCAAAAGGCTAGTTGCTGCCATTGATGGAATCCCAGATCCTGGTGGCCCCCAGTTTAAGGAAAATAAGAGGGAGTCCAATTTTAAATCCAGGGAAGAGACAGAGGAGAAACGAGGACAGTTCAGTCTCGTGGTTGGAGGTTTGTTGGTGATTGCTTTTGTTGTTCCCATGGCACAATACTATGCTTATGTCTCCAAGAAGTAAAGGCATAATCTGTATTATAGGATTTGTGATTTGTCTTTCAAATCCCCTTTATACAATCCTTCATGTTAAAAGATGGTTGATGAGAAACTTGCAATCCAAGAAACTAGGACAGATTTTTGGTTCTCATTCAGAAAACCAAAACTGGAATGATGTATAGTCTAAGGTTGTATGCTTACTTGGTGCTCAGAAGAAGTTGTATTATAGCACATGATCTACTTCAATGATCTGCATAAATCGGAATTCTTAGGATCACAGATCAAACGAAGCAAGTAAGCTCATACCATACAGAGAGAGCTGTCAAACGTTTCGTTCATGAATGAACAATTTGAACTGCATTTCATCACACACACACTCTGCACATATACAGTACCTTTGAGTCAATAGGGTAAGTTTATTGGAAGAGTGCAATATCTGGAAACTGGACTTCCAGTCACGAATTTATAATTCTTTACGGTAAGGTTTTTGATCAATAATACTTGCAATGACTGCTAGAAGTCAAATAAAAAAGAGAGTTACCAGCAGAGAGTAAATTAAGGTCTTCAGAACCTGAGATTGAGAAGGAACGGCATTTTGTTCGAGAAGGGTGGATCGGAGTACTTTCCGGTGAGTATTTGTGTCGAAAGGTACTGATTTGCAGCTTCTGTGTAATGAATTCCATCCCAATTCACATATTCAGAACTATCATTACATGCTTTGGCTGTCACTGAGGTTCCATTGATGACTTTTGTTTTCCCACAAGCAATTCGACTGTCATAATTCAAAGGTCCACCTCCATATCCACAGCAAGCCATTATAGGCTGCTCGAATCCTACAAAATGTTAAAAGCACTCAAATCATTTTCTATTCCATACATGTACTCCTCGTGAGGAGCGGAGCTAGTCAATTTTTATTAGAGATTTAAAAGTTAAAAAAAATAAAAAATAAAAATTTTTAAAAATAATATATTGAACTTAACTATTAATAATTAAAATATTTATAACAGACAATAATTTTATATAATATGTAAATCAAAAGAAACAAAAAAAAATTTATAATAGTGTTTTAGAAATATTTTGTTTGACGATGATAATATCTTTTTTAATATGAACAATTAAATTATTTATAAAAAACTTATTATTTATTTTATTTTGAAATTTTGTCTTTCTTAATATAATTAACTAAAAAATTAATGTAGTCACCATTAATATTTTTATTTTATTATATTTAAGTTTATAACATCAAATATTAAACTATAATGCATAAAATAGAAATAGTTAAATACAATATACAGAATTAGTAATTTCTCCTTATATTCAAAATGATTTCCTTTTGACTAAATGTAAAATATAAAACACATCAAAAACATATATTCAAGATAATTTTTTCGTATATAATTAAGATTAATAAAAAAAATACTATATTAGTGAAATTTTAAACAACAACCAATAATACAATATTAGAACTTATATTTGAGAATTATATATACAATAAGTTTTAATTTTTAAAAATTAAAATCATTAAAAATAAAATCCACGTAACAGAAAAAAAATCATGACAAATAGGAGATATAACCTATGTAACAAAAAAAAATGGTTGGTGAGTTGTGTAAATTTAAAAAAGAAAATATATAAAAACTTAAAATATATGAACAAATAGAATATAATTGAAAAACATAAATAATAATAATAATATAAATGTAAAAAATTAAATAAAAACTTTACTTTTTTATAATTTCACAATACAAGAACATAAAAGAAAAAAGGAAAAGATAGGTAGAGAAACTTAAAAATTCAAAAAAAAAGAAAAACTTTGAGTAAAATTGAAAAGAGTTTGTAAAGTCATTTTAGTATTTTTTTAATTATATTAATTATTTAATAAAAAATTATTAAAAAATATATAATATAAAAAAAATTTAAAAATTTTGGAAGACCATTACAAAGGGGCGCTCCGCCCCTGCCCCTCATTTACCTCTTATTGCAATCTCATCATAGAAAGTACTACACCATACTCACCAAGTTTAGAATAATTTGCTATAAGGTTGGACTTGATTGTGTAGATGTCAACGTATGTGGCATTCAAATCTGTACACTGGCCCTGCAATTTTTTGCAAAGGGCATGAAGCTGCAGATTGAAGACTTTAGCAGCTTGGTTATGCTTGCTGACGCACCCTAGCTCATCAAGGCTAGATGGATCAGTTCCAAATTTGGCAACATTTTGAGTTAAGCATCCAAGAGGTCCAGTGTTATGAATCCAAAAATTTCTAGCCCCTTGATCATATAGTTTCTACAATGGAAACCAAAGAATTTCAAGGATTAGGATGCTCATCATGATAATGAAATGCGCCCCTCAACGCAGAGGATTGCATAGAAACCTTGAAGATGTTAAACAAATAACTAAATAAAGTCCTGACGTAAGAGGTAGTTTAGTGTTCTTGAAGCTGACCTTTACTCCAGTTTCAAATTCTGTCAACACTGAAGGAATTAGGGCAAGTATTTGATCGTACGTTTTAGAATAAAAGGCACCAGCAAGATCATTCTGGCCTATGTCGATCATGTACAGCCCCTTCTGGAAAAAATCTTCTGTTGGAAGGTACTTCTCAAGTTTTTTACCTGCAATTAAATGGAAAAAGCGGGTGTATCTATTAAGATTTCTTAACTGCTATTAATGAAAAATGCTCTCAATTAAAAATAAATGCAGTAGTGCCAATAAAGATGACTGCATTTCTCTGGAAGATGATCTATGTGTGCACCTGTAGCTAGCAATTCCAGAACCCGAGCTTTGAACCGGAAAAACTGAGCCACTTGAACTCCCAAAGAAAACGGACTGACAGCATTTGCAGTAGGTGGTAGTATAGTTGATCCTGCAGCTGCAAAATTGCACCCTTTGCGGAAACTCGGTGTGCCAATTGAATCCAGGTAAGCATTTAGAAATGGCAGATCCATTGCATCCACTGCAACACATATATCAATAAGCAAAGAAAACTATATCAAAAAGATCAAAAGAAGGGCCATAAAGTATGGGAAAGAGCAAGAAACCCTCTAGTTTCTCCCAGGAAAAACAGAGGAAACAGAGAAGCCAGGTGATATACAAATTTGCAGGGGGTGAAGCGGAGTCATGATGAACAAAACTGCATATGCAACAGAAAGTCTAAATGCCGATGCAATTTGTGAAAATGGTCAGAAGGTTTAACTGAGAAAATCAATAATGAGGCGGCCATCGCAGTATCTCCCAGACGGTGTTTGGAAGTAACTTTGGCCGTGAGGTGGTTCAAGGCTTTCGATTCCGGCAGCAACCAGCTCACCCGTATCAGAATTAGAATCACCAAAGTTGAAAATAGCAGGGTATTTGAAGGTAATGGAATTGGTTAGAGGCAAGAAGATGAACAGCAAGGCACAAAAGATTTGGAGAATGTAAGCCTTGGAAGCCATGGTTGCCAGCACCACAGCAGGATCACAAGGGCTTGTAGCGTACACTTTTGTCATGTTTGTTGCCAACTATAAATAATAATTGGTTTGGTGGCTCGTATGTGTCCCAGCCGGTGGGAGTTTGCTTTCAATTGTGGTAAGCACAAAAGTTGCCAAAACGAGCACCAAAAGCAAAACGCACTTCTTTTTGTATTCTAGTAAACTAGAGAGTTGGAATGCCCCATTCTCACATGCTCCCATACTTTTCAACTTTTTGCCCAATAATCACCATAAATGAATGATAATGCAATTATTGTTAAGATTTTGATGGATAATAGTTTTATTTATTAAAAAAATTTATTTATAAAATTTTAAAGTTAAAGAGTTAAAATTAATTACATATATTTATAAATTAAAAAACTATATGACTTTGATAATTTAAATATGACTTCAAGTAAACAAATCAATTAGTTATTAAATATTATATTACTAGTTTTTAGGCATTATGCTATTAATTTTTAGATATTGCAAGACTAGTTTTTAGATATTGCATAACTTAATCATTGCATTTCTGGTTTTTAATTATCTAAAAATCAATCATGTAATACTTTATTAACTAGTCATGCAATACTTAAAAATCAATCACGCAATACGTAAAAGTTAATAATGTAATATCTAAAACTAATCACGTAATGCATAAAAACCAGTTATATAATGCTTAAAAACTATCAAAACTATTGAATTTTATTAACAAAATCAACAATTTCAAACAATACACCATATTCTATTTAACAATATAATCAAATATGTCTATTTGAAAAAAAATACTCAAAATGCTCAAACGTTTTTCTTCATTTATCAAAAACCACTCCACAAAATTTAAATATGTTTAAAACACTCAAAAGTTTTGCTTCGTGTATCAAAAACTATTTTAAAATGTTCAAAATGTTTAAAAGTTTTTTTTCTAATAAGAAATAATGTTCCGACAAGAAAAATTCAAAAGATATGAATCGATTTAAAGCACAAATCTACATATATTGATCAATTTTATTAAAAATAATTTTATATAGCATTAATTTTTCTTGATTAAAAATAATTAAAATTATAAAAAAAATTATTTTCAAAAACACGGGAAAAACTCAAAAAAAAAAAGCTAACAAACTTTTGAAGAATGTGTATAGCATAAGAGATCCGCTTTGCTCCCATAAATCTTTACCCAAAAGCATCAACTCCATTTACCAGTTACCATGTGAGTAGGCTGATTAATTTGTATTAAAGAATTACCCAAAAACAGTTAAAAGTATGCCACAGACATGGAAATTGAACCCCATATTTGGAAAGGGTACTTTAGAACTTCTTCCAGGATGTTAAAAATGCTCCCGTTTTTTTTTCTTGGTTAGGACCACATGACCATGGGACTAATTGAATATATATGAAAGGTACAGCCTCCATGAACATGGAAATCTAAATGCAATGCAAAGCATAATTTATATATGAATATAGCTTAAAAAGTTGGGATGAGAGCATTTACTTAGGAAATCAATGATGAGCCGGCCATCACAAAATCTCCCTGTTGGAGCCTTGAAGTAAGTCTGGCCATTGGGAAGTTCCAGGAAGTCCCCAAGCGCAGCAACAAGTTCACCCGTGTCAGAGTTTGAATCACCAAAGTTGAAAACAGCCGGGAAATTGAAGTCAACAGAGCTTGCTGTAGAGAAAAGGATGGCAAACAACGTTATGATTTGGATAACAGAGGTGATGTAAGCCATGGCTCGGGAGTGATAGCCTTGTTGGCTAAAAACTAACAAGCACCGAGAAAAGGTTTATAATGATGAGGAGAGAACTTTTTTTTGATTGTTTATATGGGCAATGGGGAGAGTTTGCTTTGAAGCCAAGTGGGGGGCGACAGTCAAAAAGCTAAGCTTTTTCTGCCCTGGTTTTGCTTTCATTCCTGTAATCCTGCTGTCGTATGTCAAGTAAAGGACAAAAAAGCATTGTCCTAAAACAGACCCCCGTGAGCACTTGGAAACATACAAAGTATTGGGCTAATTGTGCTTTAAGACTATAATTTTAATTTCAGTGCAAAGCATGAGAATCCTGAGGTTGTTTTGGGGAAAGCATGTGGCAGGGAATGAGCACCATTCTGCAAGCAAAAGTGATGAATTTCCCTTCCACGGGTGGCATAAAGCATTTTTACTTGGACTCCCTGTTTTATCCACGTTTGTACTCCATTACTTTTCTTGTATCTCTAGCTCCAATATTCTTGATCAGCAAAACAACTTTGTTTTGCTTTTGGGGCAATCGAGGGGTCATCCTCCTCTCATACCCTCTTACAAAAAAGGTGGGACCCCAGATTTGTTCCACGGGTTTGCCGAGTTCTTTTTCCCTCTCGAAGATGTACACGACCATCTAGCCCGAGACTTACCAACCCAAACAACATCACCCATTGCACAATTCGACAGATATTGAAAAACCTTTTGACAACTTTAACCCCCACCGTGGGCCTTCTTCACACCTTTCAAAGCTGGGCCCCGTTGGCTGACTCAAAACAAAATGTTGGGAGTTTCACAGCAGCTATGATTTCGCGGGTCGTGATCTTATCTTATCACAGGAATTCCAAGAGGAGGATTTCACTTATCTTAGCCCCTGCCAGGAGTTCCAACGCAGCCATAGAGAACCATGCAGAAATGAATTATTCTGTATAGAGACGCACCAATTCAATAGCATATTAGCATGACAATTCAATTTCAACAACTAATGGAGCAACAGTAAGATTTTAGTATGCAATGCCCATCAGTCGTCGTACACATGCAATAATTGTACTTAATATAGGCAGTGAAATTGTCTTATAATGCAATCCACAAGCGCATTAGGATCCTACGAGAAGTTTTAGCATAGGATATGAAGTATGGCATTAAATCCTGATGCTGTTATACCAAAAACTTACAACCCAAGAAATCAGCGACCAAGGAAAAGGGTTCACGTATCGGTTCTTAAGTAAGTCCTAGATGCTAATAGCTAAATCATACAACTCCTTGGAAAAAAAGGAGCCGAGAAAGCCTAGAATCTTATGAAGAAAACCTGCATTTTCTCCACGCAAAGCATCAAACTGTTCAGCAGCTGCAAATCTTTCCTTGAGAGCCTTGTTCTCTCCCTGAAGCTGCAAAGATGGTAGGCTCAGCTATTGCATGAGAAACGACGTCAAAGCTAAACAAATGCAAGTCTTTCCTTGATCATATTATCAGTGTCGTATTCAGATTGTTCTAATACTTTGGGCAAGAACTAGAGCATAACTAACTGAAAGTTGCAATCAAATGCAAAAGTGATTTAGATTTTTCTTTCCTTTTTCATTTTAGAGCCAGATGCTATCATCACGAGAGTTAAAAGAGGGGATATAAATTTAATAAAGAACACCATCCCACTTTAATACCCTTTTCATTTTTTTCCCTTATTCTCCAGTAGAAGACAATAAATATTTAGTGAAAATTATTACCATCTCAACAGTAAATTTGAGGTCTTCCACAGCTTGAATTAACGAAGAAATGGTTTGTTGAGCAACATCTTGATAGGCTGATTCCAAGTCTTCTGTTGAACCAAAATCGACAAATAGTCCTGCCTGAATGAATAATTCCTCAAGCAACTCCACATCTTCAGCATCGAGTCTCTCACTCATCTAAACAAGTAGAAACCATCTTAGAAAGTGACATGAATATTTCATCTACAGGATGTCAGAACATAAAACTAACCTTTTTTAGAATTATATCAAACGACTCATCTCTAGTTGCAGAACAAGCTCCATTCTTCTTAAGATATTTCTCTTCATTGCCCTTAACAAGTGCTGAGGCCTTTATATGCTTTGCCCTGCCATGAAAGTTAAACCCATGAAGTCAAATGAAAGGATTGGCTGATGCCAACATTTCAAATTTCAAGAATATCAATTATTAGATAGTCATCTTCTATCCATATAACTAATGGTATTCATCTTGAAGTTTGTGGTTTTTAAACAAAGGTTGAATCCTTTTCTTTTTGCTTTAAAAAAGTACTTTTCTACAAAGAGAACTGAAGTCAGCATTTTCATTGACAAGATAATAATGCCCTTTTCTCTTTGCAACGTTGAAAAGGATGAAATTAGGCTTTCCCCAATGCTTAAACCTTGGGTTAAAATATGTATAAAAGCATGTTTCATCAGAGGTTAGATTTCAGGCTCATGAACCTTGCACCAAAACGAAGAGTAGACAGGCTTTCTGATGCATTTAAAGAACTTGGTGAGCAACAACAAAGTAATGCAGTGCGGGAGCTTCCCCCCTGCAAATTTAGTGTGAAAACCAATAGATCGGCAAACTGATTGGATGAAAATACAGAGAGGTGGACTTAGGAGTTAGAGAACTAACAAGAGCATCTTGCAAGATTCGAGTGAGCTTGGAATCACGATAAGGGATATGGTTTGCTTTGGCTGGTGAACCACATGTCAGTGCATTTATCACGTTACCTAATGCTGAGAGGGACTTATTGATGGTTTTGGCTTCTTCAAGAACTCTTCCTTCAGCCCCAGTTTTTTCTACTTTCTCTGACCCCGCCAGGTCCACAAGAATTAATTTTCCAGATTTCACCCTGACCACATTGCGAAATTTAAAGATAAACTAATTCAAGGCCTTGAACGTAGTAAGGGATAAGCTATACCTGTTCTCAGTAGTTGATTCTTGGTTGAGCGTAAACATGTAAACACAATGACTCCTGCTGCTTGCCATGTTCATTTCTATCTATGTTTAAGTTCTACAACAAATTCTGAAGACAAGTTTTCAAAAGGAAAGGTGATGATTGTGCATTCTGTAACTGAAGTTTTACTTTTCTATGATTAAGAAATTAATAAAAAGATATAAAAACAGAAAATAAAAAAGGATACGGGTCTCTCCAATTGCTCTGTTAGCTATCCCACTCTAAAATTTCAGCCCAATATCAGAAACAATATTTGTATGAATGAAAAAGGTAAGAAAAAGCTCTAACAACTCTTCATCTTACAGATAGGCTTTGTAATGCTTCGGCAGGGTCCAACAGAGAGATCTGAGGAGACATTTATGTATAAATAAAAGCTTTCAGAACATGTGTAATTTGCAAAGTTTCAACATTTTAGTGATGCAACATTTAGTTCCAATATGATACACCTGTAATTTGCAGTACTGGAAAGGAAATTTAGCACCTTAGGTGATTCAATATTCATTGTGTTCTACTAATGTAATTAGAATTTCTGCAAGAAATAGCTTGCCTCTGTTGCTCCAGATAACAATATTCCCTGTGTTCTACTCTCCTTAATCTGAATATTGTCCTTTGACAAATCAAAAAGGTCCCTGAGGATAAGAAATGCATGTAGATTTCACACTAAAAGAGCTAGGAAAGCACATGTTATAATATTTCATTAACCTAAGCTTTTGAATATCATGTGTTACAAAAAGGCCAATCAGAAATATCTACAAGAGAATCACAATTCCCAATTCAACAACAAATAGCATTTAAGGTGATGCATACCTGACTTTCTCCATATAGATCTCTACCTATAGACGAGCAAAAAAATTTCATGAATTACACAGCATTTGTAGTTGAACAGCAAGAAGTGTTAGGCTCTAAACAAATATAATATGTTTCCATACCACTGACAACTTGATTGTGTACTTGACCGACTCATCAGAAGATCTAATACATGCAAACAATCCATCTACTACTCTTGGAAGTATCCCTTTCTTCTGTTCATCAGATTCCAAGATGTTTGGTCCCTGAAAATGAGGTAAATATCATCATCAATGAAATTCTATTTATTCATTACTTTAACTAACTGGACTAAATTTATGAATTCATCATATCACCTCCATACTGTATGTCTTCCCTGCCCCAGTCTGTCACCAAAAGAAAATGAAAGACAATCAAAGAGATAGAATTAAATCTATCCATAAATTAAATCAACAAGCAATCAAAAAGGTGAAGACAATGTGTTACATTAATACTATCTACTAGTATTTACAACAACGAAATGAAAATTAGTAACTTAAACTATCAATTTTAAAGGTCTTTTAGGCTAATGATTTGAAGGGATGTGCAAAGCATTTCTCACCATTAAGTTCTTTATTGATCATCAACAAAGGAGTCAATAATATTAAACAAAATTTAAAATAAAATAATCCAAACAAATCAACTATACAAAATCCTTAACCGCGGTATTTAGTGAACAGAGGGATCACCCAATTCGAATGTAGTAATCACACACATAAGCAAGATTCTTAGGATTGAATGTTAGTATGAGACGATCAACGAAATAGCTTACCTGTCCATACACAATGATTGTTCCATTTGTAGCATCGACAGCATCTGTTTCAAAAATGAAAAAAGACAAAGAAATAAATAAAAAACAGTTGATCGAATCATGAGAAATGCAGAAACTAATCAATAAACAGGTTTACCTCGAACGATAGGTAGAACAAGAAACTCATAAACATCAGCTTGCTTGGATTTCTCATAGAACACCTTATCAAAGCTAAACGTAAAGCCTTCTTCCTTCTCATCCTATCATATACAAACTCAAATCGCTAAACTGATAGCTTCTTAAGTTTTTGTCTTTTTTTTTTAAATATTTTTGATGAAATAATAAGTAATATAGTAAAAGCAACAAGAAATCAGAGTTTAAAATGAAATTAAGATAAATTCAAATACCTTGATGGTGAAGGTTTCGGAGTCCAAGCTTTCAATGCAGATGTCATCGCCGTGATCTCTTTTCTCCTTTGAGCTCAAAGGCCTGAAGCGCACGCAGACAGTTACATTCGACATTTCTCCTTGAAATTTGATTCCAATCTGTGACAAAATTAATCAATGGAAAGGTTTTAAAAGGTTTGTTTAAGCGTAATGGAGAGGATTTTAGTGTCTGTTCGGTCCGACTCCGAGAAATGAGAATTTTCTTTTTAACAGAGTTAAAACAGATTTTGAATGACAGTTTCTTTTTCAGGTTTCTCGGTATCCAAACAAGATTTCGAATTCTTTATGAAAAACTTTTAACAATAATCTTCCAAAACGAAACGAACAACAGCAAATAATTTGAGAAGAACTTTAAAATTTCTGGTCCGAGAGAGAAAGGAATTACTCAAAGTGCAAAAGCTAAAAGAATTTCACTAAGAAATCAACATTTCATTCAAAGAAGTTAATCCAAAATAAAACTGACTCTCAACAACATTTTCTTTCGTTTAATGGTTAACAAAGGAGAAAACAAAAATTTTCGAAATTCAAATATTTGAATTGTGTGTTATCTTCTTAAATTTTCTAGCCAGCCAAACAGGCAGAGGAAGAAAGATTAGAGAGACTAACCAATCTTTGTTTTTTTAGCTGAGAGAGGCAAACGTTTTCCGTTTTTCGCTTTTATAGTACGTGAAAACTCTTTGGCGGGAAAAAAGATAGTTCCCGAAACTTCCGCAGCAAAGTTTTCTACAATTGTATATTATTGGTCATCCAAAATAAGCTGGGAAATTACTGATTAGTAGACTGAGGAAATTTCGGCGGTAATTTATTTTTGGAAAGGCAGAGAGTGCATGGTAATTTGATAAAATAAATTTATTACAAAAAAGCATAAAACTTGTTAATTCAAGTAACTTTTATTTTTACAATCTCATCTGTTATATAATCAATAATTTTTAAAATATGATTGAAGAAGAGATCTTGAATTTTATATTTAATATTCTCGATTTAATTGGAAATATGTTTTACACTGGTTTCACTCGATATTAAACTTTTTTTTAAAATTGAGAGAACTGAATTTGAACTCTAATCTTAAAGTAGAGAAATTTTATACTAACTAATAAATTAAATACTTGAGTATGATATTAAATATTTTATATTATAGTAACAATATTTGTGAAATATTATTTTTTTAACTATAGGATAATTGGAATTAATTCAATTTTGTCTCTAGTTGTTCTAGAATTTAAGTTAAATTGAAGGTGTGGTTGATTTCGGGCTGGATTATTAATTATGTATATGTTAAAGTAGATAATAACAAATTGAGCTAAATGAAAGGTTTTGTGTCTAAAGTGAACCTCGAAGAAAAATTTAATACTACTAATTGTAAAAAAAAATGAATAAAAAGGTAAGCTAACCTCCTTTTTTTAAGAGTAATTAAATCAATAGTTACAATAATCTAATCATTGTTAGTTGACTAATCATTTTACAGGTTGACTGCTTAAGTCAAATTGCTTACAATTATATAAGCATAACATTTTACAAAATTTTTAAACTATTTAAAAAAATTCAAATAAATTTTTATTTTCTATTATATTTAATCAAATTTTTATATTTTTCTTTTGAATGTGAAAGATTAATAATAATTAGTTAACTATTAATCATATAAGTCTATTTAATTCAAAATAAAAACGTAAAAACTTGATTACATGTAATAAAAAAATAAATATTTATTTAAATTTTTTTAAATAATTTAAAAGTATTTAGAAAATTATATTTATATAAAAAAATTATTATTTTAAACGTTGTGGATAAAGTTTTTAAATTTGAGACTATAGTATATGATTAATCAGTATGTACACATAAATTTCACATGTTTATAAACTATTTTTTTTAAAGACATGGTAGGCACAGAATGCCAGAACAAGTCTTTAGCCTTAAGGAAAGAAGCAGAAGACTTGTAACGGCATGTCATGTCTAAGCACAAAATTGCAGCATACCAGACCCACATCAGTTACTGGCTTCAGCCCCAGATTACGTGCAGGCCAGGCTTTCAATTACTCGGTAACTAGACCTATCAAAATGGACCGAGCCCATAAGGTCGGTTCATTTTTATTAAATATGAAGTGGGTTGGATTGAAAATTTTTGATCTATATTTGAACCGGGTCTAAATGGGTCAACCCATCAAATCAGTGAGCTGATGTGGACTGGGGCAGGACCAGCCCATGGGCCAAAAAATAATTTTAATTAATTTAATAATTTTATATATTTAATTATGAAAAATCAATAATTTAGTTATCAATAGTATTGTTTATTTTATATATTTCAATGTCTTTAATCTTCACTTGTCAAATTAAAAATTTTAATTTAAATTAAAACTTATTATCTCTTTTTCTTTTATGGTAATGAATATTAGATGATAAATTGATAATAATTCAGACATTGAAACATCATTGCTGTCTAAATAAGATTTAAATGTTTTACTTGAGAATGAAGATTGAGGAGGATATAAATGAGTCTTGAAATTTTTATTATTTGGTTATATACTTATGTTTATAAGATAGTAGTTTGTGTTAAAGATTTAAACTTTATTATGTAATTTATTTATTTTTTTATATTTGGTGTAATTTATTTATTTGTAGCATGTTTTTATTATTCAATTTATGAATTAAATCATAGAATAATTTTATTAATAAAAAATTTATCAAGTAAAATTATAAAAATTATTTTTTATTTGAAAAAAATAAAAATGGGCTGGCCCAACCCAACCTATAGGCTAACAAGGGGTGGGTTAAATATTGAAAATTTGAAATTTTATTTATATTTGATGTAATGTATTTATTTATTTATTTTTGATGTAATTTATTTGTTTGTAATATGTTTTTATTATTTAATTTATGAACTAAATCATAGTATAGTTGCATACTTGTATTGATGAGTAGTAGAAATAATTTTTTTTGAAAAAATAAGCTAACGGGCCCGACCCATGGATTAGTAAGGGGTGGGCTGGGTTGAACATTTTGTAATTCATATAAAATATGAGCTGGTCCGGCCTACCCATATTTTTTCAGCCCTCAAGGTCTAGGGCCGGATTGGGCCGGCCGGCCCATATTGACAGGTCTATCGGTAACCTCACCTGCCGCAGCTTCAATCAGATGCGGTGTCATCAAAAGCACGACTCTGCACGCATGCCATTCCATTTCAGCAAATCCCATACAACACAGTGAACCGAATCACAAGCGTACACTCTTCCCATCAGCCTGACATAAAACCGTGACCAGCTGGATCCCCATTCCCAGCTTGCAGCCAAAACACATGGCTATCATCATGGCAGCCACCTCCCGTTCAGCCTTGCCTAGTACCTTTAACTACAACAAAAATCACTCAAAAGAGAAACAGCAACTGGCTACAATACCTGCATTTAACTATAAGCATAAAGGCTAGCCTAAACAAGTACAAAATTAGCTCAAAAATCTCTTAATCCAGCCACTCGTAGTTCACCAGGACCAGCTCGAGCAGTAAGCACTTTCATTTGCACGTAAAAGGTTTCCTGCGCAATTCACCAAGCAAAACTATACCAAGGAGCAAGCAAGTTCCACCTGGATTATCCCATTCCTTCATTGAATACCTTCAACAATCCTGATGTCTAATTAAGTACCCCAGCTTTAGCAAGTGCATCCGCCATATCCTTATCCTTCCAGGGAATATGATTTATCTTCCAGTTGCCACTTGAACAAACCTAGGCCAAAATGGTAACACAATTAGGACAGAATTTTTTATTACATCTCTTCAGCCAAGCTCTGATGCAACGATCATGGAAAACATGGGAGCAAGGCGTAGCACTAATATCCGAACCCACCAAGAACTCGCCCAAACAAATCGAACATAAATTCTGAGGGTGATTATCCTCAGCCACCACCACTTTCCTCAGCTTCCTGAACGCCCCCACTGTCTCCCAGAAATCATCCTCCTCGACGTCGATAGAGTAAACATCCTGATCTTCCTCAAAATTCATCAGCTGGTCATCATCATCAACCAACGTCTCGATCTCCACCCGCATTCTCAAAACCTTGCGGTTCTCGTAACATTCATTAGCCGCCATGGCGAGGGCACAGCCGACGATTTCGTCTAACACGGGACGTTGGATGGGGATTTGCATGGAGTCGAACACGTCCCAAATGTTGGTGCCGTGCCAGTCTTGACTTGCCACGTTGTTCAGCAACTGGCCAAGTATTAACCCGTGGGACTCTTCCTGCACGATGACCCTCCTCCCGCCTGACTCGACGTCGTCAAGCAGTTTCTTTCCTCCTCCTCCTTCCTGGGTTTTCTCACAGGCAACGAAAGTTGCCTTAACGTTAATCTCCAGCATCCTTGATGGCCAGAAGCTGTCTTCTGGGTACTGCAAGTCGGCATCCCAAGCCTGGCAAGAAGTTAAGTAACAAACGGGAGTTGATGACATATCTTCTGAGAAATTAGTGGGAAGCAATGGCGATATATCCAGAAGGTAATTTGAAGCATTTTGCAGCAAAGAAGCTCTTGATATATAGCGATAAATGCAGTCAAACATGGTTTACGGGAAAAAGGTCAAACATGTGACCAGACTACTGAGTGAGAATGTTTCCAAGATAGCCTATTATATCAGTCAAACATACAGTCTAGGGCAAAAACCAGCTCCTACTTTTCGTCTAGTCGTTTAACTGGGAATGCAAGCAAACACAAACATAGGCACAATGTTGACCTGTCTGCCTCAAAATTTTAGAAACAGTTGTTGTAACAAACAAGATCCGGTAAAATGGGAACTATAGCCTTCCCCTGCGGAAGGATGATAGGGACAAATCGAATTATGGTTCAAATTTTTGTGCGGTATGATGTCCTAGAGATTCAATTTTTTTTAATTATAAAAATTAAATTATTAAATTTTTATTTTGAATTAAATAAATTTTTAATTTTAATAAAAATTATTCATCATTTAATTTAATATTTAATTAATATTTTCTATTCATATGACAAAAGTAAAACGTAAAATTATTTTCCAACCGTCAATTGTCAAAATCATGAAAAATATCATTTCTTGATTGAGTCCTTTCAAAATTTTTTATTTTTTTTATTTTGGAGAAAAAGAAGAGAAATTTTGAAAAATCACTAAAGAGGATGAATAGAGATAAATTAAAAAATGATTTTCTTTTTTGTAATTTCGACGTCAATCCATGATTGGCATTTTGGATTTTGATTTTGTCACGAACCATCTTAGTTTTTATATCAATTTTAACTCAACACCATCGATTCAACAACTTTTCAAATCAAAATCACGTAACTCTAAAAAATTTAAGATCAATTCATTAGAAATAATTTATTTAAACTTTTATATATATTTATATATATATATGATAACAATCACATCCATATCTAATATAAAATTATGAATTAAAAATAAGAAATATGATATAAAAAAATTTCTTAATCTCATTATTGTATGAAAAGAAAATAGTCAATTTGTCATTAAATGTTCAACTCTTTTATTTTCATGAAAATTGAAATAAAATAATAAATTTGATATTAAATTTTGAAAATTTGTTTTTATAATATAGATGCTCAATATTTTTTATTATAAAAAAATTCAAGAAAAAAAAATTTATAATATAAAAAATTCAGAGTATATAAGGGTCTGAAAAATTAAAAAGATTTGGACGAAGTATTTACTTGGAAATAATGTAATAATTGAAACAAAGCAAGTAAAATAGTTCGATTTATTTGGGCCAAACTAGGCCTACCCTGACAAACCATTTAGAAAATTGGCCCAAATGAGTTGGGCCATCTGCTTCCTGGCTCTGAAACCTTAAACCTCCGAAAAACCCCAAGACCCAAAAGCGCGCGTCAATGATGGCGGAACGAGAGCCGGATCCGAAGGCTCCTCCGGGTCTCCATCTGCTTTCCGCTTTCCTGGCCATGGAAACCACCGATACTGTGCTCAGTTTAGCGAGGTTTGTTCTCCATAAACCCGGCCGCATTTAGCTTTTACCGCCGCAGCTGAGCTTAGTCTTTTCCTTTTCTTCTTGTTTATATTATGAATTTAATCAGCTTAGCTTTGATAGGGAATGTGGAGGAGGAAAGATTACAGATGAAGTGCAAACATTCATTTGTAATGAGTGTCTAGATTTCTCTGTGAGTTTTGTTTATTCTCTTGGATGATGGGAATTTTAGTTTAATAAACCTGGTTTAAGGGTTTTTTTTTTTTTGTGAATTTTACAGATTGGAAAAGGCAATGAATACATGAAGAAGTTTTTGAAGAAGATTATTACAGAGGTTGAGTCAAGAAATGGGTATGTGTTGGATGATTTATATGAAGAATATGTTCCCTACATGACTTCTTCCAAGGTAAAGATTTTGGCCCAATGGGGTTTTACATTGCTTTTCGAACTTTCTTATTAGTGGAACTTTCATTGTTCTTGATGGAATTTCATGTTTTCTAGGATTTTAATTTGTTCAAAGAAACTGGGAGGGTCCTCAAACGCATTTCTTTTCTTTTTCTTGCTGGTAACAGATACTACTAGTTTCTTGCTGGTTGTCTGGTCTTTTTTTTAGCTTTAATTGCATTGACTCATATTTGATTACTGACTGAATGCATATAGATTGTGTTGAACTCTCGAGTTGTCCAAGTTCAAGGACTCTAGTGGTCCAGCTGCAATGTTCACTCAACATGCTTGAGGGAGATACAGGGTATGTTTAGTTAGTTCGTATTTGGTCTGTGATTTCCATCTGCATGTTGTATTTTCAAAACCACTGCAGTTTCCTCATCATAAACAAGAAAACTGTTTCTGTTTATGATATGTGATGATATGAAGTTTTTAGAACTGGTGAGGTTGAGGTGGGTCGTTTGCTTAGCACTTACGTTAGGTTTGATGTTGGTGGCTGTGGACAGGGAGAAATATCAATGCTTTTGATAGAGTATCAAGTGTTGTGCACAAGCTCAACTTAAGCTTTCAAAACTGTTGTTTTCTCAAATGGATGTGACTCCTCTTTCTTACTTTCTCATGATCTGCTGTGAACAGAATCCAATATCCCCACCCCACTGCAGAGTGATGAATGGCAATCAGTCATTGGAAAATGCCTTCAATCATTATTGCCCTCTTTAGATATTTCTTCTGCACATTAGCTCAGTTCCATTCCCAACTTTTCTGGAATTTCATCAATTTTTGGATGCTCAACAGTGATTAGGTGAATTGCTTCTTGAAAGAACTGATCAACTGCTCATAGAAAGTTTATAATTTGCTGTTTGTTAACTATTTGCATTTTGCATGTGCATTTGGTTTCAGTTATGCATATCATAATTACATTTTTTCTTCCACTTTCTTTGGTTTAGCATGTAAACTAAGATGAATTAGTTTATAATGGCTTTGGTTTATACAGGTGTTCGATTTGGCCCTCCAGTCTTTTCCTATCAGAGTTGATACTTTCTTTTCCACATATTTTCTCAGGGAAATCATGTTTTGAGGTAAGTTACTTGTTCATATATTCTGGTAGGCTGTGTATCATCTCAAATTTGATTTTCTATTTACTGTAGGTGTTTTATGATTAAAAACAGGTTGGATCGGGTGTTGGTTTGGTTGGAATTTGTCTTGCTCATGTAAAAGCCTCCAAGGTTTGTTATGTAATTGAGTAGTATATTAGAAAATTATCTCCACGTATTATAGCATTAGTTTTGCATAATTTTAAATGAACCACACATTTTCCTAATATTTATTGCTTGGTTGCGACTTGCAACTTATAAAGTTAAGTGTCTGCTTTGCCGAATGATAATTGAACTAGAAACCTTCTCAACGTGATCTAGGAAAGATCTAAATAATCTCTCTACTTGGGTTGTACTGCCATCAAACTAATATGCATTCTCCGACCTAAATGCAGTTTAGTAGTTGTTAGTGTTAGTTAATCTTTCATTTTCTTGGCTGTTATTTTGATGCCAATGCCACCGAAATTACTTTTTCTGCTTAACTGTTAATGGGATTAAAATTGTAGTTGGAATTAGCATGCTTTGTGTTCCTTGGTGATTTTTACCTGGTGCAGGTGATGTTAAGTGATGGCGACTTGTCAACTTTAGCTAACATGAAGTTTAATTTGGAGATGAACCACATCAATACAGAAACTGATTTGCTAGAAACAAGTACTGAAAATCCAAAATCGGTGAGTTTTCGTCATGAGTATTTCATACCTTGTCACGTTCCTTGTGCGAACATCAGATTATTGTGTTTTTTGTTGTTGATTCTATTTACAGTATTCCTGGATTTAGACCCTTAAGCTGAAGTGCTGATGAATCGTATCTATGAAAAGAAAGGAAGTGCCAATAAGTTTTATGTTATTCTCAGTGATAATGGAACTATAGTGGTCCATCTCAAAGATCCAACATGGATGGAAATTCATTCTCATATAAATAACCAGATGAATTGTTTGTTGAATCATTGTAGTTTGAATGTCATATTTTAGGGATCCAACGTCTTGAAACCTCGTCATTCTCAATGCATAATTTTCTTGGTGCTTCTTATTCATACTTTCCAGGCACATCAACCAGCTAAATCTTTGACTTGAACCCTGTAAGACCATTTATTCCTTTGGACTTTTTATCATGATAAATTGATGAAAGTAATTTAAAATTTGTGCATCAAATATAGGCATTTGAGGCTCTTTTTTGCTGGTTTTGTTACTGCACTGAACAGATTATTCTTTGCGTGGAAGCCTTAGCCGTTTAAAACTGTGTAATTAAACAAAAAGAGAATCATTGCAGCACAACCAAAGCTGAAATAAATTCTTTATCTTAGGTTAAATGCATTCATCTGCCTTGGGAATCAGCATCTGAAAAGGAACTCCAAGAATTCATACCAGAAATTATGTGAGTATGCTGTTTATCTTTTAATCTATACTTTTTTATTGATTGGAATGGCAAAGGTTGTGTCTGTATTCTACTATGAATACCGTTCACAATTTTAAGAACAGTATTGGTTAATAAACCTACATTATCTAATACAATTCCTGGTCAATTGTTAGTTAAAAAATGATGGTGTGAAAGTTGCAAGATCGAAGCAATCCTTGTTCCTTATCCTCTTTCCTTATCCAACACCATTTTATTCGTATTTCCTTCTACAGTCTAGGCGCTGATGTTATCTATGATCCATCTTGTCTTCCACATCTTATTCGACTACTGGCCATTCTTTTGAATAAAAAGAAGTCATGTGACAAGAATCAGGAAGGAAGTTCCCGGAACTCTTCAACCGAAGTCATATGTGCAGATGGTAAAGTAAACAGTGCCAGCCAAGGACAAGTTCTCAATGCCCATGATTCAGATTCATCTAGTTCTCATGCTTATGACATCCATATCACTGGAGTCAACAATGCTGCCAGTCTTGGATCAAGGACAGACCCAGTTGCTTACATTGCTTCTGTCATTCGGAACATCGATACATTCAATCATTTTCTTGCACTAGCAGACCAGGCTGATCTTACAATCACAGACCTAACAAGTACACTAAGGCCCCTTGATTTGCTTCCTTATATGAAGTCATACGATCGTTCAAGCATAAGGTTGTTTACTGTTACATCTAAATAACTAGATCCATATCTCTCTTGCTGATTGGCTCCCCTACAAATTCAACTTTTTTTTGGTTTTTTATATTGGGGGTGCAGAGAGAGAGTAGGTTTTGGCATGTTGTAATGTTCAACTGCTTTGGAAGTTGGGCAAATCTTGTAATGAAGTGAAAGATTGATGCTATACTAGACTCCTCTCTCTCCCCGTAATATAAATATAAAGTATTAACAGTTATATAGATAATTATGAACACAAAATGTTTACATAATTAGTCAATGAGTGCCAACGATCTAAATGTTTATTAAACTGTGTTGCATGACACAATACAATTAACATGTTTATTGAGTAAACCAAATTATATTTGTAAGATATGATATGATGGAAAATTTGTCTAATGATCTATTTGAACACTATTACCATGACTAATTTATTTAAATTTGTATTAAATATGTTTGTAAATGAATTACATAAATTTTATAATCGACACCATAACTTGATTAATTAAACGATTAAATAATTATTAAGTAGATTAAGTAAATTTAACCTGTACAAAACACACAATTGTTGTACCCAAAATTACCTAGTGTAATATATGCCTTGTTGAAACCAATGAATATGCTTATCCAAATTTCATAGTTATCTTGAAATGCCCTTTTTTTCCCTTCGAAAGATTACTTTAGAATTCAACAATTTGCGGGTTCCACTTTCAGGAAACTACACCTACAAAACAAGGTGGTGGCATGATGTTATTGATTCTCAGTAGCTTTCATGCGCAATCTTAATACTAAAGTTGTTCATAGTTAGTAACAGAGAAGGGGGAATATTGATTTCTCAAAGTTGAAATTTGACAACAAAACTTAACAATAACTTCCAGAAATGGAAAACCTCCCTATTAATTGCTCAAATTTACTTAATGGGTTCCAACGTTTACTCTTCTCCAGCTTTTCATGCACTGGCTTTTTCTGTTTTCACCTAAACGAGGTTGGTTTCTACTTAGGCCATCATTGCAGTTTAGCTGCGGTATCTATTCCCAAGACAGCTGCCACTCAGCAACTATAAAGAAGGATTCTTTTCTCTGCTGATTATCCTCAACTTCTGTAGAATCATTTCTGTACACAAAGTAGACCATTGTCCTTAGCCATAACTAACAGAAATGGGAGACCAAAAGCAAGAAGAAATTGAGGTTATCCACTCATGGTCTGCTCCGAGATCACTCAGTACTAGTCTGATGTACTCTTTTGCTCAGGTAACACCAGTGTTTTTTTTTAAAAAAAATTTTCTGGGTTCGATGATTGGCTGGTGAGAAAGTTGAGAGGAAAAAGTGAAGAAAATGAAATTAAATTCTGAATCTTTCTTGTGATATAATATATGGGTTGGTTTGAAATTGGAACTTTTGATTGAATTATAAGTACCCGATGACATGGCTGAGAAACTTGGGAAAGAATGAAGAAGATGAGAGTAAAATTTGAAACTTGCTTTTTATTTAACATGTGGGTTATTGAGAGGATGCAACCTTGATGAAATCGTTCTGGTGGTGTTCTACTTCTGGTAATCTGATTTGTTGCCGATAAATTTTACGAAGAATGAGGAAGATGAGGGTAAAGTTTGAATCAATCTTGTTTTCTAATATGGGGTTGCTGACAAAATGGAACTATTGATCCCTTTGTAATTAACCCATTAGTTTTGTTGTGTTCTGATTTCTAATTATTTCATTGCTTATGAAGAAGTTGAAAGAATAGTGAAATGGATTATTTTTATTAGGGATGAAATAATTTAGTTATCTAGACTCTGCAAATCTCACTGTTTGGTGGGTTATGGTAATTGATCATGATTTTTACTTCTGGATTACTGGTATCTTCAAGTTTTTGAAGCAAGTTACTGTGCTCTGCTTGTCAGTTTGATCAGAATTCAACTGAATAATGATCCTACTGGTTCTTGGGTTTTCATTCTTGTGCTTTGATGTGGGAATGGGATTTGGTTAGATTTTGGCTATTAGTTTGCTTTGTGAATATGAAAAATAGAGGTGTTCTTCTAAAATCTAACAAACTAGTTGTGATATGTTTGGGTAAACTTGTATTTAGTTGAACTAGATGGTGTCCTATCTTATGGTCTGAGCTATAATTTTTCAGAAACTTATGGAGCATTGAAAGGTTTGTATTGTTTCAGTAACTATAAAATATTAATATGAATCTCAAAACTGGGTTAAGTCTGTGAGTCTACTCTAGGGACAATGCTCGATGGTGAAGCCATAATTTTGTAAACAAGTTTCTCAGTTTGCTAAAAGGTAGATGTTTGCCTCGTTCTTTGGTGATATGCACTTATTAATGGTTTCATTTTCTGCAATTCTTAGAGGGATGACATAGAAGTGCTGGATGAGCCACTCTATGGAACTTTTCTAAATGCGACCGGTGTTGAAAGGCCCTACCGTGAAGAGCTTCTATCTAAGATGGTATGTCACATAAGCTTAACCAATGTTTTCTAGTTGGTGCTTCTTTCCTTGCTTTTTAAGATGGAAAAAAAAGGTTTAGATCTTAAGATTTTCACTTTATTGGAGCATTTTTTTTTATTTTCCTTAAAACAGAGATGTTGTGCCTTATGTGATTAAAGTTCCCAGGAGATGTTGACTTTAATTATGTTTGAAAGACCAAATATCTTTTAATTTTACTTCTCTGAATAATTTTATTGACATTATTATGGGACAAGCTGTAAACCATATGGATGAAAAGGTGAAAGTCCACATGAGATTTATGTTGCATCACCTTAGGAAGGTGCCCAACATTAACCCAATCAAACTGATCGACCTTTAACTTTCTAGAGAAGTCAGATGACCAACTCTAGTACCACAGAAATTACCCTTTTTAAAATAGGGGATGCTGTCCCCAATTGAAATCACTGTTTCATCTCTATTTAGATCGGAAATAAAAAATGGCAACTGGAAGGTCTGAATGGGAGTTGTTATTTTCTACAGCATAATATGTTAGAAATGGGTTATGTGCTTTGCTCCAATTACTCTGTAATCGTGCGGAATGCTACTTTCTTTTTATCTTTGCTCTGGGAAACATATTGCATTCTGTTTCTTATGTCTGATCCTTTCAATATAAACAATGTCTTTTCTGTTTCTGGTTCCCCTCTATGTATGCTTTCTTTCACTTGCTCTTATCATCTCCCTCTTATATATATTTTTTGGAATAGGAATGCAATGGTAATAGAGTTGTGAAAGAGATAATTTACGGTCCAGGAGGAAAGAAGTATCGTTTTTGTAAGGTAAACTATAAGTTTTTCCATCTAGCAAGCGTAAGTCCACTCCGAGAATTTTTATTTCCAAGTAAATTCTGCTAAGAACTTATTCTAATCTGAAAATTGATTGCTGCTAATTTTTCTTTTTTCAAATATTTATGTTGAATTGTATGGCTTTGCTTAAGAAAGCTAGAATTTTTTTTGGTCCTTTGGGAATCAAAGGAGTTAATTTTTTAAGTTATTTTAATTTGTTCTGGTCTAATTAATGTTTCAACTGTGCATGTTAGATTAAAAGTCTGACTCTATTCTAAGTATGTTTTACATACAAAAGTGTGTTGACTTTCAATGAAAGAAAGTTTCATGGGTTTTATAGGTCGACTTTGGCTTTTTCCTTAAATATTCAAACTCCAGTAAAATTGAGAGAAATGTATAGTGGAAAGCATCAGCAGATTCTGCTATCTAACTCTTGGTTGTCATAGCTAGAAAATTTAATCTTTGAGTTGATATTTTATAAATTAATTTCCCTCTCTTTGCAAACAGCATATAGCAAAGCAACGGGTTCCTGGTTTGCCAAGTGACTTGCTGCAGAAAGGGAAACACTTTATACTGATAAGAAATCCCCTTGCTGTACTGGTAAGATGTTTGAGAACATTTATCTCAATTCACTTAGATAAAGAAACCATATAAGTAAACTAAAAGAATAATGCATGTAAATAGTAAATTCTATTTTTTTAGAAATGAACTTCATGTGTTAATAAAGGCATTGGAAATATTATTCTCTTGAGAGCTCATACTAAACCAAGATTGATAATTTAAGGCTTAGTGCTTAATGTACTAACTTTTGTTATCTCTGCCGTTATTCATTGATTTTTTTATGTTTTGTTTATTGTCTTGTCAGCCATCCTTTGACAAGGTAGTGCCTCCATCCATTCTTGAGTTAGGTTTGGGAGAACTAGTTTCCATATACAGTGAGCTTTGTGCATTGGGAAAGCCCCCACCTGTCATTGATGCGGCAGACCTTCAACAAAATCCCGAGGTTATATATTTTTTCAATAAGTTAACCTGCTGAAAGCTTATTATCATACTGCATATGAATCTTACAGTGCATTGAGCTATTTATGTTCTCAAACCTTGAAATCTCATGCTTGTTCTCTCCTAGATTATTCTTATATATATTTAATATCCAACGGGTATGTTAAATTTACAATTGCTGCATATATTTTTTGTATTTATTCATCTTATTGATGTGCAGGCTACTTTACGTGGTCTTTGTGAAGATTTAAATATTCCTTTTCAAACTGCAATGCTCAGGCACGTGGAAATTTATTTTAATCTAAAACTTTTAAATCCATTTACTGGCTCTTCCTGCAGCGCAAGTTACTTAACTCCCTCATTCATGGCAGTCTTGATGAGCTGGTCAAATGATGGCTTAGTTTAGGTCAATAAATCTTATGCTGACTGACCAGGATTGTTTAGTCAAATAGTTAATAATCACTGTGCCATCTCATGACATTTGATATATCTCTTTCTTATAGACCATATCTTTCTCTTGCATGTGTCCCCTTTTTAAATTTCTTTGGAAACACCTCCACTTCTACTAGAATAACTGTTTGATGCTGTCGTATCTCATACTTAATGCTCAAAGTTATTATTTTATACTTGGTTTTTCTACTAAAATAATAATTTCATCATCATGGTGGTCAAAACTTGATCAGATGGGAAGCTGGTCCAAAACCGATAGATGGTCTTTGGGCTCCGTGGTGGTATAAAAGTGTGCATAACTCGACATGCTTCACACCCACAAGAAAGTACCCTAGGGTATGTGACCTATTCATTCTTTTCATGTTGAATTTTGAATTGTAAATCAGTTGCTGTCTTAACTAAATCTATAAAGTCATCTTATATTTCAAGTCTTGATGCGCTGAAAATAGTTATTTTATGAAAGAAACAACTATCAAAGCTCGTTTTAAAGGCTTAGAAAAACAGATTGGTGCTTTTTTGACAGTATTGTTGGCCCTTGTCCTTGGATTAGAAGCTATAACATGAATCTTTTTGCTTTTCGTCTGGTAAACTAATCTATCTATCATCTAGATAATGAAAGTTCATGCTTTTTTACTTCAAAAAATTTATATCTTGGAATTAATTACAAGCAGAAGTATTGGAATAATTGATGAAGTGTTGATATAGTTATGTCTAATCTTGCATCTGTTTTCAGGCATTTCCTTTCTCATTTTATGACTTGTTGGAGCAAAGTCTACCTTTCTATAACATGCTTAGGCGCCATGTGAGGCATACATCATCCCTTCTAAAATCCCCCTTACCTGTTCCTGATCTTCCGGTTCCTGAAAATGAGAAGCTGCTGGCTTGGGTTGGTGATGAGATTGTACCTCGTGAGAGTGCAAAGGTTCTTAATCATAGAACCATTATAGATCTGTTGTTCATTGACTTTCCTTTATGAGCGTTAATGCATAGGTACATTAGGTTTCTCATTCTTAACTTGTGAGATGTATACCAGGTTTCAGTGTTTGATTCAGTTGTTCAAGGTGGTGATGCTGTGTGGGAAGGACTTCGAGTTTACAGTGGAAAGATATTTAAGCTTGAAGAGCATTTAGATAGGTTGGTGAAACTAAATGCTTAAAAGATGACAAAAGCTGTATTTGGTTTTGTTGCTGAGTGCTGTCATATGATTTGTGCAACTTAGTTGGTCAAAATATCCTTGCATGATGTGCCAGTGATGCTTCTATGTTTTCTGAGTTGACTAGTTATACTAATTGATGAGTGTATATTTTAAATTCCACAGCTTTTATAAACAACTTTTAGAAATGCATGGTATAGCATGCTGTATTTTTTTTGGCATGCTATTTCTAGGTTTATTTCTCTGAATTTTCTGCGGCTGATGCTAAGAGATGTGGACATTAGTCTTGAGTGCTTTGTGAAACACGGAAGTAATGCTCACTTGGTTTCTTTTTACTCTTTTCTTTTATATTTTTTCTTTAAATAATTAGCAGATAATATTTCCCCTTCTTGTGGCTAATAACTTCTTTACTTTTATGGGATGTTGCCAGGAACCATGAGATTATGAATTTCCTTTAGTAGGACTTGCAGTAGTATACTAGTTAATTAGCACATTTTCAAACAAAAAAAAATCTGCCTATTTGTGGCCCCATTCTTTTATCCTATGTGTGATCATATGGCAAAAGATGAATAAATGACACACATGTGATCTTCAGAACTATATGAGTCCTCACTGATACTTTTGGTTCATTTCACAAGGATGTTTGATTCTGCAAAGGCTCTGGCTTTCAACAATGTTCCAACTCGTGATGAGGTGAGGATCCGCAGATGAATTTGAATTCACTTTCTGTGAAAATATCAGCACTTCATGGTACTGGGCATTGGTTGACGGCCGTGGTTTGTGCGAGCATGTATTGCTTCGGCACTTGCAAGGAAGTTCATTGGTTGATTTTATTAACATGAGGCATTATTGCAGATCAAAGAGGCTATCTTCAGAACTCTCAATGCCAATGGAATGTTTGATAATACACACATTCGACTAACACTTACTCGTGGGAAAAAGGTATGAAACATTTTTGCCTTCTCTCTGTCTCTCTATACGCTAGTAATGATTGAATTGCCTTAAGTACTGCACCTCTAAAAGACAAGATGGTGCAAAAAGTTGGATGTTGCTGTTCATAAATTCTTGTTAGGCCTAAGAATTTCTTCACTGATTTGCTGTAAACTCATCTTGTTCAGGTTACCTCTGGGATGAGCCCGGCATTTAATCTTTATGGCTGCACTTTGATTGGTAAAATGATTTTAAGTCCTTCATATACAAGAGACATATTCATAAATTCTTATTTCTATTCACACATGGATGTTAACTGTAAATTGATACAACACTAAGAATGTGCTATTGTAGTGCATCTGCATAATATTAGTTGAATTATTTTTGTCAAGTATAGAACTCGCTTCTATGATTTGTGGTTTTTCAGCTGATACGCTTATGTTTTCTGTGAAAAAAAATGCAGTGCTTCCTGAATGGAAACCCCCTGTTTATGACAATGTGAGTGGTATAACACTGGTTACTGCTACTACACGACGTAATTCTCCAAATGTAAGATTCCTGGTGTCTTTTCTTGCCACTATTTGTGACTTGCTAGAAAAGTTTAACAGAACATATTTATGTCTGGTCTCCCTGTGGCTTATGAGGGAAGAAATGCTGGGTGTTTTGTTTCTATTTAATAGTATTTGCCTTTAGGAAATTTTATCTTCCTATGACCCAGCTGACTTTGAGTCATTTTCATCCCCTTCAGAATTTGGACTCGAAGATTCACCACAATAATCTTTTGAATAATATACTAGCGAAGGTATTGTCCTACCCAGGACTTTGATATGATTAGATGACAAATCTGATAGTAGATAAAGCTTAGATCTAATTTGTGATTTGAATTGTTATTTTCATTCTCTCATGCAATACAGGCAAGTGTAGTTCTTGATTTGATAGCTTTCATATCATGAAATGCTCCGGTTCCTAATGTTAACTGATTTATGATATTTTGCATGATAATAACTGTGTTAAGTTGTGAGTTTTCTTATTAGAAAGTGGCAGTGGACCTTTTCAATCTCTGAAACGTAAAAGTTTCATCTGGGTTTGGTTATTGGTGGATTGTTCAGCTTAAGGATGTAAACCATGACCATGTGATATAGCCATTGTGTTGACTCTGTTAAGGTGGCGTGTTATGTTGGTACTGCTAATGCCAGATATGTATTTTGTTGAATTATGACTTGGCCTTAATTGATTTATGTGGTCTGGTGCAGGTAGAAGGGAACAATGCAAGTGCTGGTGATGCGATCATGCTTGACAAGGATGGTTATGTATCCGAAACAAATGCCACAAACATTGTAAGACTATGCTTTTGCTTCAATTTCTGATTTTAGGTCTATGTGTGAACCATGAAATTTAGTAACACAATGATGGAGTATTTATATTGGTATGCTACCTGTTGGCAGATAGCATTTTAGTTGTTAAAAAGACATTTTTTTCCTAAACACGCATGTGCTTTGCAAGTTGAAAATCTCTACCTGAGAAGCATTCTTCTGCTTCATGTTGCAGTTTTTGGTAAAGAAAGGCCGTGTTTTGACACCTCACGCTGATTATTGTCTTCCAGGGATTACTCGACAAACTGTAAGTTGCCTAAACTTTCATTTTAGCTGTAATTTATGTCCTGGCTGATGGAACTCCCAACTTCCTGATCTCAAGGAATCAAGTAGCCATATAGGTAGATGAAAAGTGGTTCAATATCTCATCGTTGAACATGGCTAAGTTTGAATACATATTGCCTACTTGATTTCTGTAGCAGAATAAGCAACAAAAAGTTTATTGATTAAGTGTGACCATAAATGATTGCTATCTCTCAATATATTGGTACAATTCAGGCTGTAGTGTATGATGATATGAATTGGCATCTCTAAAATCTACCCTGCAATTAAGGATGTGATAACGCAAATATGCAGAACAAGAACCTCTTCGCTTTTTGCTTTTGTTCAACATATTATATATCCATCATTTAAGTAAATACTTAAAAAGATCATCCAACAATGTTCTTTTTGTCAGGATATGTTCCTGTGTAAAAATTAAATGAACATATTAAAAATTTTCTTTCCTTTTAATGGATAAAATATGGTAAAATATTAAAACTATTTAGTCAGTACTTTGTATTATCTTTTTGGTGCTGATATGACCCTCCTGTCGTTGGCATTGCAGGTCATGCAGCTTGTTGTCAAGGAAAAATTTGTCCTAGAGGAGCGAAGAATTAGCTTATCTGAGTTCCATACAGCAGATGAGGTTTCCAGTTGTTTTTCTATAGAATACATTTCAAGAAATACGTCCAAAATTTTGAATGAACTGGTCCTCTGTTTTACAATGATATCTTTGATGAAGTTCCTTTGATCTATAGTAAAAGGCCTTAGTACCTGCAGAGTAATGACTGGTTGCTTCTATTCTAGGTCATATTATAAAGTTCAGTGGCAGTTTTTTGTTATAAGACAAGTGTTTATAATGATACCTTTATCCAGATACCTTCACATAGAAGCCATTCCGGTTGTTTCTATTAATTATATCCTTCCGCTCAGACTCCAATAGCTAGTTCTGTCTAGAGTAGTTATTATTTTGAGTGTTTGAAGATGCTGACTAAAATATGATAACTGCTGCCTATAAAGGCGTGTACATTTGTAAACAATTGAAACACACCCTTAATGTTAAATTTGTGAACACAGGATATTTTTGGCACAATATTCAAAATGACTTTAGATACATCTTCCTTGCTTGTAAATTTTTCTTTTACATGTGTTTGAAGCTATGATTAAAAAGGATTCCCTGCAGGTATGGACTACTGGAACAATGGGAGAACTCAGCCCGGTGAGTTCCTTCTTTCTAAATATTCAATTTAGAATCTTAGTGGACTGAGAGGGAGAGTATTCAATTTTGCTGTTTGCGTTTTCAACACAGGCTGGCTACTTTATTCCCTTGTTCAATCTAGATGATGAAATATCCTTTTAACAGGTTGTAAACATTGATGGGCGCATCATTGGTGATGGGAAAGTGGGGCCTGTTACTCGAAGATTGCAACATGCTTACAAAAAGCTGACAGAAGATTCAGGAGTGCCTATACCAACCAACAATGAATCATGAATAATATTATTTTGAAGAAGGTTCACTCTCTTTTGCATTATTTTCCACTTAAGATTTATTTTATCTGTCCTCTAGCTTCCCGATTGAGATGCATTTCCATACTTCTAGTGTAAGTAATGGAAATTCCTCATATATACCAGGTCATCGTTACCATTTACCAACGGGCAGCGCATCTCAAGATGAATATGAGTTAGGATTGCTTCCGGAGCCATCATTACTAGAGATTTTGGATGCATGACTCTTGTTCAGTATGAAAATGGGTGTTCTCTTGTTTGTTATTGGCAAGATACTTTTGGTGTGGAGCAACCTCCAGATAAATAATGCATTCAATAATTGTGAAAACCCCTTGTATCAGTCCTCTGTCATGAATTATATCATCAATTTCAATAATATGCTCTAAGATATCTATCTTCATGTCTTAGTCTTCAATTGCATTTGCCTGTTGAGTTTCTAGAGAAATGCTGGGTTGAGGAAAGCAACTTGGACAGCAAGGCAATATGTAATACTGATGTCTCAAGACTAATGTTAGTTGACAGCGGACACACCATATGTTTCAAGGCATTTTGATTTCAGTTCTGAGTACTGGAATATGCAATTAGCCTTTCTTGTTGCTGTTTCCTAACTTTGCCGCTACTTTGTGAAACAATTTACCTGATCCGATAGCTTCATTATCAAGCAAATTCTCTGTTTCATTTCTATTTTGCCACCTAATGGACAGATATCTTGTGCTATTAGAATTCAGAAGTATTTGGTCAATTGTTTCAAAGGCATACACACAAATGTTTGCTTGTAAAAGAGGCGGGAACTTCAATTTTTTTTATTTTCAATTCTTGTAAAGAAACAGATTCCAGACTAGCATGCTTAATAGTAATTTTGAATCAGACTGTCAAAACTAGAACTTCAGCATCCTTCTCAAAGGATGGCAAGTTCAACATAAACCCAAACTTTTTCCAGCAAAAAAGTGCTCATAAAAAACTTCAAGCCATCATTTGCTGTGATGCTCAATGAAGCATCTCTGCTTCAGTTGATTTGCATACCGAAGAGTTTAAAACCCGTGGTATTAACATCTTCTGTTGCATCTACTGCCATTAGTTCTTGCTCTTGCTTCAGCTGCTTTCCACCATCAAAGGTACAACAATGTCCCAGTCTAAGCCGCAAATCCACTTCTCTTTCAACCTGCAGGTTGGCTGCTGCAGCCCATGCATTATCGTTTCCATAGTTGTTCACATCTATCATGCAGAATCTCTGCACCTCTTGCTCCTTTCTGCTCTCACATACATAGAAAGAAATCAAATCATTAGCTTTCAGTTCTTTTTCCTTCAAAAACCGGTTCCAACCCCTGGTGAACACAAAGCTTTGGCTGCTATTCCAGTAGCAATAACGAAACTTCCATAGCCTCATAAACTTGTCATAGAAAATCAACTCAGCATCACTTCCTCTGCTACCACCGCCCTCAATTGGTGGAAAGTACTTGACAGCATATTTTTTGGGGATAACAAGTCTGTTCAGCTTGCCTACATCGCTTGGTGTTAGCTCCTTCTGAAACAGTTGTTTGCAGCTTAGCCCCTTTTCGCTATCCGTCCCTACAGAGCTGAGATCAATCTCTACTTTGCCATTTCTAGAGCTATGCTTGAGAAAGTCCATGAACTTGTATTGGTAGGAACCATCCCTTATCATGCCTAACACAGCTTCAGCACTGTAATTGCTCTGAAACTTTGGCTCCTCAACCGTGATGTCAGTCAATGGAAAGTTCCTATGAGTGTCTCCAGTACGAAACTTGATTGCTGCACTGTCATAGGCCATAGCCGCATCTGTTTCGGATTTGAAAGTTCCTAGCCAAATCCGGGTATGATTAGCATATAACTGAGCACCCCACTGCCCATTCTTCTGTCGGATAACGCCTTTGAATCTTGATGAGGTACCATTACTGGCGCTTCTTTGGCGTTTCTTTGCAGGGTGACTGGTGCTGATTGAATCTGAAACTTCTGAAGCTGCATTCCCTTCACCACTTGAAATCACACTTAACATCTCTTCGTCCATCGTCTCTAAGAAGTTAAACATATCAATGCGAAAGCAAGTACTGAGGTACTGAAGTAAAAAATATGAAGTTGTTGCTGACAATATATTGCAGAAAACAGAAATCATATCCTAGCTAAATATATTCAGCAAGCAGCTGCTCCATGGTGTCAAACTCCTCCATCGAACTAGTCAGTGCAACACAATAATTGCTAAAGTTTAAATTCAGGTTTCGACTAACAGGGAATAAAATGGAATTATATATATATTTATATATCAGTCAGCCTGAAAGACATTCAGAAAGATAAGATTTGCTAAAGTTTCCTCTAAATAGACAAATCTATTACTCTGGGTTGAAAACCACTAACAGTTAAAACTATACCATATTCATGTAAGATATCTAGCTGTGAACTTGAAACAGAAGATAAACAATGTTGCACATAAGTAACAAGTATCTATATTGTTTATGCCTTGATAACTATTCTGCTGAATCCAACCCTTGAACACTTCTTTAATAGTTATAAATCTTACTTATAAAGAAACTTGGATCCACATTCAAGCAAGAACAAATCTGGATTCTAATCTAAGACTGATTCCTTAGACCAATTTAATAAAATCAAAACAATCATGCCAGAAAAATGTTATCAGTAACTGAAACTAACATGGAAGAAAGTAATTGTTAAAAATCTAAGAGCAGGTACCTGAGTAATTAAGCAGCAGAAAACCAAAGCTGTGGGCTGTCTCTCAATGGCAAACAAGGTTTGTGCTATGAGAAAACAATCATAAGCGCTATTTACTACTTATATGTATTTGGAAGAAACTTGACAAAGAAGAAAGATGTTCCAAAAAGGGCAACAGAATAAGTATCAGAGAAAAATCAGCTCATTGAATTAATTCCAACCTCCATAAGGAACTTTATTTTTGGAAAGAATATAATCCATGTTTGCATTGGAGAGGAAACCCAAATTTCTTCCAAACTTTTAGCAACATGGCTGGTGAACCAACAACCACCAGCAAACAATGACAGAAAGTTCAGAATCCTGGAGAGCCAAAAATTGAGGTCAAAACCCAAAATGCTGAACCTTTTAGGAAACAAAATCAAATGTAAATGGTTTTTCAAAATAACAGAATCAGCATCAAATCACACATCTTATTTCCTTATAGTTCAAGCAGAAGATTTTCTTTTCAAAATTCCTCTAAATTAATGATTCCTAGGTTGCCATGTCCATCAATGTTTACTGAGATACATGAAGTTAATTCTCCAGAATGCTTCTCCAGGATTTTGGCTGTCTCTTAAATAAAAACCAGCAACAACATAAAGATTAGTCATTCACTAAAATATTTGCAGAATTGGGCTTTGATAGTGATTCATAAATCACATAAAAAATTCATCTGGCTGACTTCATGTCCTCTGTTAAAGTCCTGCTAAAGCATAATCACACAGAACACCCTAAAGATTCCCCATGGATGCAACTCCCTTTATTTGTTTTAATATCTCAAAATATCGTTTACTTGGAGACAAAGTCATTGTGCCCTCAGCTTTGCCAAGAACTCAAGAAATCCGAATTCCTACAAGTAAAATTCAATATTTTCCAATTCGAACAAGGCAGTCGTTTTCTTCCCTGTAACCAATCATCCTCGGTGAAAGACAATAAAAATCTCAAATCCTGGGTACAACCATCCATGATCTTCACACCACAACTTGATTTCAACATATATTTGCAGAATTGTTATCTGCAGAATCTGTAGTACAGCAGATGAAAGAACTTGCATTTTTTTTTTAACTTTTTGATAAGCCATGAATTAATTCATTGATAAAAAGTTACTTGAAGCTCATAACCCTCCATAGGTACTCCAAAAGTTTGTCCTGTATCCTCCCACCCTGTAACACTCCTACTAACCATAAGAGACAGATTACAACCTAAGCCCATTAATACTGCAGCCTTCAAATCCACATTCAGTAGCATTAACTAACATTCAACGGCTGAAACATGGGTTTTACCAGTCTCCCAGTAAAAGACAGCTCACTGCAACCAAAAGACACCATCCAGGATGGATCATCCTAGCTTTGAGCCATCAGGGAGCATGCATATTACTCAAGTCAGTATTGCAAGTCCTTTAAGCTTTTCCGATGGTTTCCAATCTACCACCATGTCCCAGTGAAAATGCTCTCATCCAACTTTGTACCCAGACATGCTGTAGGACCAGACAGATGTCGTTTCACATCTTCCCCTTTATTTCCTTTAGGCCATACTGCAGGCCATACTTCTTTATCTAATATGATTGTTATCTGAAGTTTCTTTTTCATTTTCCTGTTTCTGGGTAATTGTCAACTATTTTTCTCAGTGACTTTACCTCTCTTTTGCTTTATTCTATTTGACAAAAAGGAAATCACTATCTAACTATCTGTTTCATACTGTTCTCCATTGCACCTACCATTTTCAGACATGTTGCTTTCGAAAGCTTCATCACCACCTTACATGAGCTGAATTAGGACACACCAATAATTTTGGTATCTTCTCCAATGTTTCCTCAAAAATCAAATTTTCCTTTGGCCTGTTAAATAAGCTTAGCACAAAATTAAGAGTCAATGATAATGTGAATGGAATGCTTATTTTTGAATTCATTCGCTTTCAATCCTACTCTTGTTGCATCTAGTTATAGAATATGTTTTTTATATTAAATTTAACATAAAAATATTTTTTTAATCAAATATCGAGTATCATATTATATGTAAAAAATTTATAAGTTAAATATAAATAATATGTTATATATGTAAAATTTTAAAAAAGTTTTAAAATATATTAATAAAATTGAGGATTAGATAGATAACAAATCGAAAATATGGTTATTTTTAATTTAAACTCTTAACATTTTACCTATTAATATATATTTTTAAATGTATTTTTCATATTAATTTAGTAACTAAAAACTAAAAACATTTATAAGAAAGAGAATTCAATTTTTGTAGTATCTTTTTGTCTAAAAATCTAAATATTAAACCAAAAAAATAAATAAATAACCAAAAATAAAATCTTATAATATATCAATTTGTATTATTTTTTTATTACTATCGTATATTGATAATTATAATTTGAAAATTTATTCAAGTTTCATTAGGAAAATTTGAAAAATAATCTTTCTTTGCAGACTAGATTGGAAAATGCAATGACTTCAAAAAAAAAAAAATCACTTCTCTAAATAGGTAAACATATATAAAGCTTGATCTTCTAAATGCTTACTCTGGATTGAAAACCACTAACAATTAACATTACAACATATTCTTCTACTCAGCTTAGGGGAGCCAGATTTGGATTTGCAGGCCAATTATATTGCTAATAGGTATTGCCATAGTTTAGTTATAACCTATTGTCACTGATCTTAGAGGGCGTTGAATTAATTAATTTAGACTATTAATTTTATCTTTAGGTAAGAAACCATACATTGTAAATAGAGGCGGAGCCGTCATTTTTTAATTTTTAATTTCTTTATTATTATAAGTATAAAACTTGATATATATATATATATAGTATGATTATTTTATAATTACTTTTTAACCACCCATCATTCAAAATTCTGAATTCATAATTGATTGCAAAAATCTTGAAATGATAATAATAATTAGAGATTTGCCAAGACAGTGGCAACAATCCTCTGTCAAGCCAGCAGCCTCTTGGAGAGTGTCTTTAGTGGAGGCTTTGGCCAGCAAAATACAACTCCCTCCTGCAGGACAATCCTCTATCGGGTTTATAAAGCAAGAGAGCAACATCTGCAGGATCCACATGGCAAGTGAAGATTCTAATCCAAGACTTATTGCCAAGACCAATCACTGCAGAAAATTTTATCAGTAGCTGAGAATGCAATGGCCATATATCTTCACAATATCACCTTGCGCCATTATTTATGGTTGGGTGCAAATTAGGAAGGAGTTTAATTGCTATTGATCAATGCCTCTGGCCAAGTTGAACTCATCAAATGCTAGATTACATAGTTCTGCAAAACCTGTGGTAACTAGAATTCCTGTATGCTTTGGACTAAGGGCAGAGCTGCAAAGCCTGGATTGACCTTGGATACCAATTTTCATTATTGGATGATCAATTAATCCCTGATGAACCAAAGACTAATGCTTGAACTTCCTGGTTAATTATAAATCAATAGCAAAAGGCTCAGCTCTGTAATTTCCAGCTGCCAAGTTCTTGGTCTAAAAAAAGACCATGGAATTGCTTCCACATGCTTCTTCATTTTGAAAAATTTAGCTCTTCTTGAGTCACTCAAATATCCCAAGAACCCCATAGTTTCCAATGTAGATATTTGTCAAGTGAGAATGGGTTTTGTCAATTCTTTTTCAGACCAAATATATTGATGATGCCTACTAAGAAAAGATCAGTAAATAAACGATCAATTAACTTGTTTTTTTTCCCAATGAAAAATTTTCTCATTGAATTTGGTTTCTGTGCCCTCTGGTGAAAATCAAGATACCATACCGTAGGACCAATCAATGCCGCCTAAAATCTTCTCTTCTTTATTTCTTTCAGCCATCCATCCTTATTCAAGATCATTGGTATATAAAGTTTCCTTTTTAGTGGCATTGAATGTCCCTTTTGCTTCATTCTACATATATATATATATATATATATATATATATAGTCTTTTTTTTCTTATCTTTTATAACTCTATTTGCTTCCATTGAATTAATAGTATATATGTTGTTAAAAAGCTTAATTTTAATCTCTTTCTGTATTTTTCTTTTTTCTTTCTATATATATATATATATATATATGCTTTGTTTTTCTCACTCTCTTTTATTTGGCAATAAAATATATATAAGAAACAACACACTGAGAGAAGAGAGGGAGAAAGGGTGTTGGGTTGGGGAAGCTTGGAATCATTTAAAGCCCATGTCTCCCCCACTAGAAAACAAGAAGATAAAACAGATGAAAGGGGAGAAAAAGAAGGAAAGAAAGAGAAAGTGAGAGACAGAAATAGTGTAGGGGTTAGAATCTTCTAAAAATAAAACCCTAGATGGCATAAAGAAAACATGATTTTGTTGTTCACCTATGGGGGGCTTAGACTCTCCTACAATGCATGTGAAAAGTGACACATATTTATTTTTAAAAAAAATTAATTTAAATTCCAAAGGAAAAACCAACCACAACATATAACTCTCCTAAGCATACTTTTGTTAATATGTTAATTTATTGGCCATGTGTAAAGTTGTACAGTGCCAAAGCATCCTCTTTAGTTCATTTTCCATTCATTCATTAACAGTGCTTCATATTTATCACAATTTATATCTGTCTTTGCTGCAGTACCATTGATTAATACCTCAAACCACCACTTTTGCATTCACACTTGCCTTTAAAATATTGGTCATCCAAACCCCAACACCATTAAAATTCTTCTGTTACTGATCCTCTTTATATAATAATAATAATAATATATATATATATATATATACACACACACAAAATATTACAGTGATTCATATTTAAAATATTGTCCATCCAAATCTTAACATTGTTAAAATTTTTCTGTTACCGATCTTTTTTTTTTTTATAATATACAAAGTACCATTTTGAACTCAAACCATTTAATTAAAGGTACCAAGCAATCCAAATTGATTATCTGCTCAAGGCATAGCATTGCAAAGGAATAACAAAAGGAAAACTTGCAGCAAAAAATCAAAGGACCATCTACCCCCTAAATGTATAGCTAGCTAGTGGTAAAGGGGATCACATAATTTTATTTTGTCTCTTCATATGATTTTACAACAACGATCAAACTTTAACACTAATCTCTGTTCCTCTGCTCTCTTAAGGACAAGCAAAACCCCACCAACATATCAACTTTTTTTTCGCCTTGGGATTCGACCATGAACATCGTACAAAATTTCATGGGGCCATGATTATCTTCAATGCACAAATGATTTTGATTTGAAGTTATACGGGAGGAAAAAAAAAAAAAGAAAGAAAGAAACCCATCATAGCTATTTTGGTACAAAATTTTTTCATGATATCATGCTTAAGGAAATTTTAACAGAAAGAGAGGTTTTTTAAAGCCTTTCTAAAGCTGCTTGTATGGCAGCCTTTATCCAAGTACTTCACCTTCATAAGTGGTCATAGTTTCAGCTTCCTGTGAGAGGAAAATTCTTGAAGCAGGCTTTCTGATAAATATTAAAATATTCATGGATATCAGCATGTGATCAATCACATATTTCTGCTACTCCTGACAGTGTAAACTTGTTTGAATGGTTCATATATAACTTAAAACATAGTCTAAGTTGTCAATAGGTCATTTTCTTCAGCTACTAATTCTGATTTTTGACTTCATTTAGGATGGATTTGCAGCCAAATTTTGGATTATGAATCATAATCTTGAAGACTTTTATGAAGAAGAAACATCAGCAGAGCAACATTGATAGACTATATGTAATGAAATGGTAAGCACTTTAGTACATAGTTAGTCAACTACATGCTTCTTAAGGGGTTGAGAGTTTGAGGGTTTCA